AGAATGTGTTTTAATGTTTGTTTACGTCATTGATATCAGAATTTTATCTCCTTTAATTTCGAAACCAAATGCTATTAAAATCATTGTTTTCATGAACCATCATGCATTTTTGCAACTTTCATCAATAGACATAATCTAAGCTGTCCAATATACACTTTTCTATCCACACCAGCTAATGAGCGTTTACGTAGTTGACCATCTATCCAATAATGGCAAATTGAAGTACAGCTGCTTCATTTACACATCATAAGAAAAGTTAGCATATGAATTTAAGTAGCAGGTAGACAAAATTTAGATAAGAATTTAAAATTCACCTTTCAGTAATTCATTATCAGTTAACAATACAATGAAAACTATTCTTATAATTAGTTCTAGAAGTTAAATATTAATAAAGAAATTTAGTAGTATTTAATGTTTGCATAAACTATATTGTTTATATTAAATTGCTTGCTATAATTATGAATTCTATTCCATGATGCTTTCCTCCCTTTTTTAAATTAGACAGTTTAGATTTACTGTCATTACATGTAAATTTGCACAGCAAACTTAGCAACTCTTAAGTTTATATTTGCCTATCGCCTAAGAACATTTAATCTGTGCGAGTCTCAAATTCACACCAGTGTTAAAGATAACTGTAATCTTCTAGTGACTGTAAATGAATATTTTAATTTAGAAGTAATTTACTAAGCACATTTACTCACTCCTGGGAATGTTTTGTGCCTTCAAAGATTATTACAATAGAAGTCCATTAACAATAAGGATATTTAGTTATGTTATTGTCCCTGTATGATTATTATTATTATTAAACAGTTAAAAAGGACCAATATTAAAAACTTAAATTCCTATAACCATTTAATTTATTCATTAAATAATGAGAGAAAAATTTTCCAGTTTTTTTTTTAAATGATGTGAAGGCAATCAAAACCATTTACTTTTAAAATAGATTTCTTTTGGCTATGCTTTTTGGTTCCTTTAAGGATTTGGTAATAAATCAATATGCAGTTTCAACACACTCATATGAACTGACAAATACTGATAATCATTTTAGCAATAATAGTATATGTCATATGCAAACACCTAATAAAAGCAGTATATAAACAAAACCCACCACATCAGAGCTACTTATTTTCTTTTTGGAATACCACCAAAATAGAATTTACAAGAAAATCTTTTATGGTAACATAAGTAAAGCTTTTATACACTTGACCATAGAAAAATGAAACCTTTGAATAGTAAAAAAAAAGTCATTTTTAACATACACAATTTTTCATTGTCTTCATTATATATTATACAACTACTTGCTATTTGAAATAGCAAATGAAATCAGCTGAATAATCAGCTCATTAATATTTAATGGTCTGTTTTCATGCTGTATTAAAAATTCCAGAAAGGCCAGATTTTAAAGTTTTTCTGAAGAATTATCGTGAAATTTTTCTCATTTTGAATTTTATGCCAAATAAGGTAGATTGCAATATAAAGTAAGGCATCTTCACATTGTCCATAAAAAGAGATTTAATTTCTAGTTTCTAAGACATTATTAAGCAGCCTATATAAGAAGCTGAAAGATACTGATACCTTTTATCACTCTGATCTGAATGTGCAGTTCTGGTATTTTCATTTTCATTTTTCAAAATCCTTTCTCATAATCTAGTTTCACAGCTTCCAAAATAAAACATTATCTTCACCGTGACTCAAAAGAATTATCTGTATTCAATGTTTAAAAAATAATACAAGAACATGACCTATGACAGGAATTTTGCACTTCAGATGACTTTATAAATAAAAATTTATTGTGCTGCAAAATTCCTGAAAGTGAAGCTAATTTGGAAATTTAAAAGTATGGGATGTATATGCGTAATAGTCATGTGATAATAAAACAAATTTTATATGATTAAAATTATTCTCGGATTAATACTGCTCATAATTTCAGTTAAAGGTATAATGAGTATGAACAAATACATGCTGTTTATGCAAGATTAATTCCTATTCATGTAAATATTAGGATATGTATAAAGAACTAGGAATATCAATACTAAATTTCACTGTTCTATCATACTTTCCTTACAACAAAATTGAAAACTTGATATTTAATCTTAATTGTAAAAAACAATAAAATGTTATTTATAAACATCTATCTAAACTAACAGAAATACTTGTGGTTTAAATTCCATAGGAAAAATATGTAAGCTTGAAATGATACTAAGATGTTATAAAAGAAATTATGAAAATTAGCCTAAAAATTATAATTTTTACTTTAATTTCAGCTTGAATTTGCAAAGCTTACCTGTCATTTCCTTCAGAGAATGATATAATTGTTCCAGTGTTTCTCTCTTCTTGCTTTAAAGTTGCAATGAAACTAAACTCATTTGTTTGTGACAAACGTTGTGTGACTTTCTGCAACATCTCTGCAGGCAACTTTAGGTGCCTTGCATCACCTACAGATAACAATAACTCAAATAAAAATATGGATTTAATGAGAAACATTCAGCATTACTAATTAAAAACAAACATACACAAATTTTAAAAATATCTTATTAAACTTATTAAACTATCTTATTAAACTATTTATAATATTGCAAAATCAAATTAACAAGCTTTATTAAAATACACATGTAACTATATTGTAAATTAATATTCCACTATTATCAAGTGATTCAATTTGATGTAGTGCACAACACTATCATATGCAGAAACAAAAATGATACATTAAAGCACTAGATTATTGAAAAAAGTATTTCAAGGAATAAAATCTCACTTTCAGCTGCCAGTTATTTATTAGTGTGACAAAGAATATTTTACTCTGCCAAACATATTATGCACATCTAAAAAATGCAAATTAAATGCACTTTCTGAATTAAAACGATTTAACAAAACATTTCATTAATGCAGCAAAACAAAAATTTAAATTAACTGGCTTTTGTAGTTAACAGAAAAATGCACTTGTTTATATAAAAAGTGTTTGGCCAACAAATGAAAATTCAGTAATTGAATTTCTTATTTAAAAAAATAAACATTTTAATAACTAAGCCAGTGTCTGACATTATTAAAACCTCTTTGAAAATTTTAGGACACTAATTACAAAATACGTAATTTAAGCTATACATTAAACTTACCTTGTAAAAGGACAGCAGGGGAAAGGTGATGGATGCCTTCAGCTATAGAAAGACCAGGATAACTATTGTTATAAATCCGAAGGCCATCAATTAAGTCAAACTGATGCTTGGAATCTATGTATAGCCCTGAAACTAAAGCCATAAATGTCAAAACATTATAAAAAAATCACACGATGATATTAAAAAATGAAAATTAATACACCCGAAGTGAATAATTAACAGAAATGCCGCTTAATATCATTTGTGTAGCAGCCTATGTACCTATACTTTATATCGAGTAAAATATATTTAAAAAAATTAAGCATTATAATTTAACGCATATTACCTACAGCAGACCAAGTTTTAAGTCTTTTAATAGCACACCATTTCACAGCTCTACATTTATGGTTATCGATGCATTAAAAAATTTTGGCCATTTCCACATACAAAAATCGGGGGGGGGATACACGTAAAAAAATACCCCCCCCCATCAAAATAAAACTAATTACTTTGAGCAAATATTTTAAAATGCGCAACAAAAGCTCATATTTACAAAATTTCAGTAAAATGCTGGATGTGGGTTAACATTCATTGCAATTTTTTTTAATGTACAGGTTAAAGGTTGCGCCAACTTTAGACACCGAAAACTTGATATACTTATAAAGGAAAAAAATTTCCTTCCTACAATAAAAGCTTACAAATTCGACCGATAGATGACGCTTCCTCAAGCGCAGTTTATGCGGACGAGTTATCACCCCAGTTCGTTTCTGAGCAGAGATGAACCAAATGAAGTATTCCAAACTTAGTCTCTGATCAATTTATTTATTCCAAGACGAAAAAGTAGCATAAAAATGGCAAATTAATTAAATTTGTACCTTCAATCATTTTATTTAGCCATGAATTAGCTTGCAAAATTAACTACTGAAGCCCTAATGAAGGTTATATTAGATTAGATTATTTGAATATGGCAAAGCCACGGGGGCTGTTTGCCTATGAGGAGAGATGCCTTCATGGAGGACTTTGTGTTAAAATGGCATGTATTGAAGATACATATGAAAAAAAAAAACCACGAAACCAACTCTGCAGCCTGGCGGCAAAATTCAGAGCCACCAAAGTCGGTCGGTATCTGTTAAAGTGGAAGTTACCTGAGCAAGGACAAGTAAATTATGTAATTATTTGTTCATTAGGCGGCAAAAAAGGCTTTTTTGTACGAATTCCAAAATAAATTATTAAATTATATATTTAATAATTATAGAGGGGCCAATAAAAAACAGCATTTAAGAACGGACCTGGCAGTCTCAACCATTCAGCTACTGTTGGGGCTGCCCTGTGAAGGCTGCTAAGTACAAAGGAAAAATGTACATAACTGATTAAAATTAAATGAAATCGTGTCATATAAATAAGGATAAATAATGATAAATAATCTAAATTAAATGAAAGTAAGTAGCATAACATTTAAATGAAATAATTTAACAAATGGTCTATGAATAAACGAAAGACAGAAAGGAGGAGAAAAGAAAGCAAATAATTCTAAATTGTATTTCAGCTCATCTAAAAATAGCGCACAATCTTTACTAAAAAAATCTTCACGAATTACGGTTTATTTCCAAACCTCAGAAGATCTGGCTGAATTTAAGCATTACATTCAACTAACATAAATCTGTCGCTGAAAAAATTCTATAACTGAGTATAGTTTGCCACTCCAACGTCTAATTCGGATTCGGCTGTATAGAAAAATAAACAAGAAAGGCGATCTTAAAAGACAATTTAAGATTTGGTAAGCCTGTAAGATTCTCACTAGTGTAATTCTCAGTTACTGTAGAAAGTGACGAATCTTAAGAACTAGTTAGCGAATAATCGCTTATTAGTGTGACAAAACCAAGATGGAGGGTAACTAACCCTTTATTATTCCAATAAGATTTTAACAAAACTCCGTCTTGCATTGTACAATCAAAGCCGACAATTGGGCTTGAACTTATAAGACTAAAAATTAAACTAAAACTAAGATTAACTATAGAATTTTGGCATGCCCTGTTCGAGCACTTAAGCTCACTACAGGTCCACTCCCCCTTTGGGCACGTCGTTTGGGCACTAAGATTAACTAAAGAAATATAGACAAAGCTATCAAGATTCTACTCGAGTTAGCACCTTTATTTGACTACGAAGCTTATCAAGGGCCTGAGTACGGCCGGGCGTAATAACAGCTTTGAGAGAGAGAGAGTAGCCAAAAGGCAGACGCGCGTAAATCAAACTCTGACTCTGTAAGTAACTTGGCGGGTTAAATACCGCTCCTCCTCATGAAGTATTCAGAAAGATTCCAAAACTACGTTCTGGTCGGAAGTAGTAAGTTGAAGTTAAGAATTTGACAGGAAAGGAATTTAAAATTTAACTGTTAATAAAATTAACATAATCCTTACAAGCCATAACAGACCTAAGACCCTGCTCCAACATTTTTGGCGCCCTATGCGATCACTAATTACAACTGGTTCCACTTATAAACTAAATGAATTTAAAAATTCAAAGCAAAATATTCCGTTACTTAATTCTCGATTATGTGAATAACTGAACTGGTCCCCTTCTGGAAATGGGCCCCAAAAGTAGCTGCCTTCGTCATCTGCGCTTGCAGCCATGGCCAAACCAGTAAACTTTGAGGAAAAGTGTGTCCACTTGAGGCACTTTCTAAGTAAGGTCGGCTGGTGGCGGTAAAAAACAGCAGAAACGATCATGCAATTAATTCATGCTGCCGAGAAATGTACCCGAGAAGCAACCAACAGTGCTCGATGGCTTTTATCCACTTAGCTGTTCGGTGGACTCTTTGAAATACCAGCAAAAGCCTTTCAACCTTGAACGTTTTGTGCACGCATCTATTATAAGTAACTTATCGAATTAAAGAAAGGCTTATACAAATGTAAATCGTTTGCTCTCTTCCTACGGTTGTTCCCTTTACTTCGTATTAGAATATGCGGCTTAAACTCAGATCGGAATTATAACGTAAAGTAAGTCTGCACCTTCCAATCGTCCATCACCTGGATGTTTTGTAAATAAGTAAAAATAGCGAGATGCAAGTGTTAATTGACAAATTAACATTTAGCTCAAGAGCTTAACTAGTAAAATTCCGATAAGGTAAAAGAGTAGTTTCGTATATTTTGCTAATATGCAAACATATATTTACAATTTATCAATTATAATAAAATTAATTTTAGTTAAAATTATCCACTTAAACATATAAATCTACACGTATAAAATATGAATCCAATCTATTTCTCTTCACGCTTCTTTTTTGTCAACACTGCATGTTAATATGTGCAGTTTACTTCAAAGACTTGCACACTGCTTTTTTCAGAAACTGTTATATTACTACCAGCGATATACCAATATAAAACTCAAACAACTTCAGAGTATTATATGAAATGACTTTACTTAGCAATATACAAATAGTCAAAATTTGGGGGCCAAGGAAGAAGAAGATTAGGATTACTTAGATTGTGATCAAGTGCTCGAAGGTCCGTCCAAGAGTAGACGATGCTTCTTAAAAGAATTTTTAAGAGAAACTGACTAGTATTCGCGTTACACACGGAAAGTGCCCTGCAGCCAGCAGTTTGCCGGAACTTGAATCCGGATCGAAATACCAGTGTTTAGCGGTTTTACTAATACTTGGTTAGCCGAAGTTGTCTGGAATTAATAGTGCTACTTTATTTGAAACTACTATAAGAGACAAATTGATGAGGGATACGTTTCCTCAAATAGAAGCCTCGAATTTAATAACGCATTTCTGATGAAGGACCATGAGTTAAAAACAAAAAGGAAAATGCATAATTCATATAAAGAATTACTTTTTTAGAGGTTGCAATTTTCCCATTGGTTTTAATTAATGTCATTATTTAGTGTCTTTTGCACTTCTTTTGCTTGCGAAAAAAATGCAGAAATGACGTAAAATATTCATATGCGTCTATCAAGACTAAACTTTCATTCTTGCGAATGTTTTGCCAGTAAAGATTAGTAACCTGAAGTTCCTGACTTTGATAACAATTAACTACTTCCAAAAAAGAGTTAGGAAACTAATATAATTTCTATGAAAGTGAATCAAAGCCTACATCGCATAAAAATGTTGATTAACAGCGATACAAAGTAGCAAGTAAATAATTTCATTATTATTGCTAATTCAGGGCTTTTAAATGCGTATATACATAGTGATGGACTTCAAATAATTTAACAACCGATTCACAACACTAATGGTCATTTTAAGTAAAAGAGAATTACTTCTAAATGTACATACGTGATCTTATAATATATAAGATATATATATGCAGTTTATTTATATTATACTGTACAATGCAAGAGTTGCACTAAAGTGTTTTAATGCATAGGTATTTTTTCTTCATTTCTTTTTAATCCATATTTTTCTATCAAAAAGGTGTTTTAAGCGACAATTTTTTGCGATAAATTGCTTAAATAAATAGTATTCTTTTTTAACATTCAGTTCGTAGAGTAAAAACGTTTTCGAAAGCTCTTATTCCGAAACACTAGAAGTCGGCTAAATCACACTAAAGTAATATGTATAACACAGCCATCTACCAACACAAATTATAATCTCAACATTCATCTCTTATCCTTTAGTTCCTTTGGTATTCTAAATGCAGCTCCAATGTGGGACATAAATATAATTCAACTCCCCAAAAAGTAATTAAGCGCATTGAAATGTGAACTAATTTTAAATTCCCTAAAAAATACACAGAACATGAATCAAATACATCGTCTATTGCGGCGTTTGTTGAAGCAAACTATGTGATGGTTACCTGCTGATCGCATGAAATTTAATTAGTGAAGTAATAAAAGATTTCGTAAAACTTCATTTGGTCAACCTGATATTTAAACTATACTCATATATATAACAGCATCCATAGATACATAATAAAGACTTAAATTATAAAATGAAAATAAAATGCAAATGATTATTTTTAATACGTCGATGAAACGCGAAGTGAAAACTTTTCACTGCCGAAAAAGTTACTTATATTCATGTCGTATTTAGACAGAAGATAATCACCGACTTGATCTGGGAAGGTCCAATTTTATATCTGATGGTATCTTTTTTTCTCACGCAAGGGTTTGGTTTACTTGATTGTGGCAAAGCCCACTACGGCTATCTGCTT